GTTAACCATACTGTAGTATCTATAACTTATTCTATACTATAGTATACTATAGTATACTATATTACTATATTACTATGTTACCATATTTCTATATTACCATATTACTATATTACCATATTACAATATTACCATATTACTATATTACCATATTACTATATTACCATATTACTATATTGCCATATTACAATATTACCATATTACTATATTACTATATTACTATATTACCATATTACAATATTACCATATTACTATATTATCATATTACCATATTACCATATTATCATATTACCAAATTACCAAATTACCATATTACCATATTACCATATTACCATAATATCATATTACAATATTACCATATTACCATATTATTATATTACCATATTACCATACTATTATATTACCATATTAATATATTACCATATTACCATATTAACCATATTACCATATTACCATATTACCATAATATCATATTACAATATTACCATATTATCATATTACTATATTACCATATTACCATACTATTATATTACCATATTAATATATTACCATATTACCATATTAATCATATTACCATATTACCATATTACCATATTACTATATTATTATATTACATATAATATATATTTAGTGTACTTATTAAAATGCAAAGTAATAAATTTAAAAAAACTTTATTCTTTTGAACGAACTCACAATCAGAATGGGGACGATCTCGCAGTCCGATCGGGAAGGCACGTAATTATAATAGTATCTAGTTGCACTTTCTGTTCTTTGAGCCAGGTTGCGTTGTTTCCGCGAGCGTGGCTCGTTCGTTGAAAAGGAATTCAATGATAAGGAGCTTTTAAATTGCGCTTCTCTTGCGGAGGGCTCTTGTTCTCTTCGAAGTTGAGAAACTTCAAGCCGTTTCGTAGATACTTCTTTAAGATCGTTCCCGGTCGCTACAGCCTCCCGGAGACCGCGTTGAATATTTTAAACGGTTCTTCCGTCCCTTCGGGGAAGACGGTCTGTTGGTCCTTTCGGTCATTTTCTTTCTTTCTTTCTTTCTTTCTTTCTTTCTTTCTCTTCTCTTTTTCTTTTGTTTCTCCCTTCTGCCCCGGCAATTCCAAGTATCGTGTCGCAATACCAGATGAACGTGCAAGAGAATGCATCTCGAGATTTTTACGAATCAGAGATTAGTAAAACAAAAAAAAATACATAATTCGATGCTTAATTTTTCAATATTAGCTTCGCTACCAAGTAAGGTGTGACGAAATTAATGCAGCGTAGAACGTGTAGAAGTAATTTTATTTATAATATGCATACTGTGAATATTGTTCGCGCATATTGTCATGTGTTGTATTAAAATACTGCAAACAAAGAAAAGGTAAACGCAGTCCTCACGGTGTGACGACTTTCTTTTTGATACAATCCTTTGCTTTTGCTCTGTCCAATTGTTTGGAATTTCTTTCGTGACGTCTGCAAAATCCTTTCGCTCAATCATGGTTTTCTTCCCGTGTTTGTTTCATTTCATGGCAACCCTCTAATTTCACTGTGTGTCGTAAAAAATGAGTGAAAGTCGAAGGAACATTAAACAGGTTTATATGCTTCAACTTATTCGTATACAGGGTATTTCGTAACTTGTGGGAGCTGATTGTACGCCTAAAAATAATGAAAAATAGTCATACAAATATATGTCCTTTCTGTCTTCGCTTATGAGATACAATGAATTCTCTGGTTTAATTACTTTTACAAAAGATGCTCGAAATGACCACCTTGCATTTGAAGACAAGCCTTGCACGCGTCTTGTCATTCATCTGGTTACTCTCTCTATCATTCCTGGTGTTTCTCGAA